TTGACTAAAAAAACACAATGTTCCTTGAGATTTGAATTTACAAAAAAGGGTTTTACCTGAAAATTTTGAATTTTCTTGATATATGTCACAGGCAAATCAAAAAACTGAATTTGTATGAAAACTTCGGGCTAAATTGGGTAATATTTATGCATAAGCTAATTTTATTACACTACTGGAAATTTAAAACTACAGTTCTCCATTTGACTTCCCATTGACTCCAATTTTTGGGAACATCAGAAACCAGTGGCTACCACTTCTTTTGCACAAAGGAAAGACACCTTCTCTAATCTTGCAGAAATTCACCATGAGATGGTGCCTGGGAGGCTGAGCAGTCAGCCTATGCTGTATGCCTCCATTAAATGTCAAACATCTTCTAATCTTTGCTCAGTAGTTGAGACTTTCTGCTTCCTATAAAGGAGAAAAATACATTTAGAAATTTGGAAATCTGCCTGAACCTCGTAATGAATTTTTGGACATGTTCAAGCTAATAGTAAAAATATAAATCACCTCTTCTTAAATAAGAAGGTGCACAAAAAGCAATCCAGAGAAGTAAATTTTCTTCATTTCTGGATTTGGCTGCAACATATATCTAAAAAACACTAAAAATATATTGTTAGAGAATTTATTCTAAACATCCTATTCTGAGAATTTGACCTGCTTACAACTAATGTATTAAAATCTACTACTCACTCATTATCAGGAGCATAGCTCATTAACAATACTTGCATTCTACGTTGTAGTTTCAGATATAATGTTCTGAATGAATATTATCCTACGAACGTGTGAACTGAGTGAAATATCCAGGCATTGAGGGAATTTTATTAAAATCACTCTGAATGTCATGTTAGAGAGCTAATCGTGGATTTGAAACTTCTCTATTAATGGTAAAATAGATTGTATGTATACAACTTCATAAAGGCATAGATAAAACTGTTAGCTTTAAATTTCCCAAAATAAAGGCAGCAGCTGAAAATTTTCATAAAACAATTTAAACACTTTTTTCATTGAAGGATGTGCCACATGCAATGTACCCAGATGGAATTATAGCCCACTTATAATGAAGAGCAAAAATAGAAATTCAGTTATTTGTTCAAATTCTAC